CTCAAAATGTAAGTTTTAGTTGGATTCCGCGAAATTCTTCGATCACGTGGTATCGAATGAAGGGATCAAGGTGGATACAAAGAAGGTGGAGGCGGTATAGAGTTGGCCCAGACCATCCTCAACTATAGAGATCCGTAGTTTTCTTGGCTTGGCGGGTTATTACCATCGATTTGTTTAGGGATTTTCATCTATTGTAGCACCTATGACCAAACTGACCCAGAAGGGTGCTCCGTTCCAGTGGACGGAAGAGTGTGAGGAGATCTTCCAGAAGCTCAAGACAACTTCAGTATGATGACCCTCATTTGCTTATCCTCATAGACAAGGTTCTGCATGGTGATGCTAGAGATGTGACCATTGGTGATGATGGTGTATTGAAGATGCAAGGTCGAGTATGTGCACCCAATGTTGATGGGCTTCAAGAGTTGATTCTAGAGGAAGCCCACTGTTTGCGGTATTCCATCCATCTGGGTGCCGCAAAGATGTACCAAAATTTGAGACATCACTATTGGTGGAGGCGGATAAAGAATGATATAATTGGATTTGTAGCTAGGTGCCTCAATTGTCATCAGGTAAAGTATGAGCACCAGAGACCAGGTGGTTTGCTTCAGCAGATAGATATTCTGGAGTGGAAGTGGGAGCGGATCACCACGGATTTCGTAGTTGGACTCTCACAAACTTTGAGAAAGTTCGATGCCATTTGGGTGATTATGGATCGGCTGACCAAGTTTGTGCATTTCATCCTTTGTGTACCACCTACTCTTCGGAACGGTTGGCAGTGATTTATATCCAGAAGGCTATTTGTCTGCATGGTATTCCAGTTTCCATCATTTTAGATAGAGGTACTTAGTTTACATCACGGTTCTGGAGGGCCGTACAACATGAATTGGATACTTCGGTGGAGTTGAGCATAGCATTTCACCCCCAGACAGACTGACAGTCCGAGCGCACAATTCAGATTTTTAAGGGTATGCGTCGTGCGTGTGTGATGGAGTTTGGAGGTTCTTGGGATCAGTTCTTGCCACTAGTGGAGTTTGCCTACAAAAACTGTTATTAGTCCAACATTCAGATGGCACCGTATGAGGCCTTGTATGGTAGGCGGTCTAGATCCCCGGCGGGTTGGTTTGAGCCAGGTGAGGCTAGATTATTAGGCACATACTTGGTTCAAGACGCCTTGGAGAAGGTTAAGGTGATATAGGATAGACTTCGCACATCCCGGTCCAGATAGAAGAGTTATGCGGACCAGAAGGTTCGTGATGTTTCCTATATGGTTGGAGAGCAGGTCTTGCTTCGGGTTTCGCCTATGAAGGGCGTCATGATATTTGGGAAGATGGGGAAATTGAGTCCGGCTTTTATTTGTCCTTTTGAGGTATTATGACGTGTTGGGGAGGTTTCTTATGAGCTTGCCTTACCTCCCAGCTTGGCAGGAGTTCATCCGATATTTCATATTTCGATGCTTAGAAAGTATCACGGTGATCCGTCACATGTGTTGGATTTCAGTTCATTCCAGTTGGACAAGGATTTATCTTATGTGGAGGATCCAGTGGCGATATTGGGTAGGCAAGATCGAAAGTTGAGGTCAAAGAACATTGCATCAATGAAGGTTCAGTGGCGGGGTCAGCCGGTCGATTAGGCGACTTGGGAGACCGAACGGGATAGCGCAGTCATTACCCTCTTCTTTTCACTACTTCAGATATGTTTCTATGCTCGTTCGAGTACGAACGAATGTTTTAAGCGGGGGAGGATGTAACGATCCGGCCAGTTTTTTTGAGAATTAACGCCTTGATCCCCTATTAACTGCTTTCCCCGGGTTTATTGTTGCTATTGTGAGTTGCCGGGAAGTTTTGAGTTTCGAAGTGTTTTGGGACACGTAGTCCCTCAATGAGATCTTAAGCTTTAGAATTTGGACCGTAGTCGGAGCAGTGTGACGACGTCCTCGAAGTGGAATTCGTAGATTCTGTTAGCTTCGTTAAGTGATTTCGGGATTAAGGGCGTGTTCGGATTGTGTTTTGGAGGTCTGTGGCTTATTTAGGCTTGAAATGCTGAAAGTTGAATTTTTGAAGTATTCAGATTGATAGTGAGATTTTTATATCGGGGTCAGAATCCAATTCCGAAAGTTGGAATAGCTCTGTAGTGTTGAATGTGACTTGTGTGCAAAATTTGGGGTCAATCAGACATGGTTTAGTTGGTTTCAGCATCGGTTGTAGAATTCTTGAGATTTCAAGTTCATTAGGCATGGATTGGAGGGTGAATCATGGTTTTAGCGTTGTTTGATGTGATCTGAGGTTGGATTAAATTTGTATGATGTTTTAGGATTGGTTGGCATGTTTGGTTGAGGTCCCAAGGGCCTCACGTGAGTTTCGGGTGTTTAATGGAATTAGATTTGGACTTAGGCATTTTCTGATATTGCTGAATCTATCATAACCGCACCTGCGTATGTGGGACGGCAAGTGCGGGACTGCAGAAGCGGCTTGATGATCGTAGAAGCAGATTTAGGCTAGGGCTTCAGGAATCGCAGGTGCGGCTGGCTGACCGCAAATGCGGAACCACAGATGCGGCCAAGTGACCGCAAATGCGTCCCCAGCCCGGTTAAGTGAATTTCGCACCTGCGATGCCTTTTCCGCAGGTGCGTCCCCCCTGACGCATATGCGGTAATCGCTCGGCAGATATAGAACTTTTGAGAGTTTGAAGTTCATAACATTAAATTTGATTTTAGCTCGGGAGAAGGCGATTTTGAGAGGGTTTTGAAGAGGAAATCAGTGGGTAACGATTCCTAACCCTATTTCGTTTATATTTTATCAATCTATTGTTGTTTTACACATTTAATCTAAGAATTTGAGTGGAAGAATGGGGATTTGGGGGACAAGTTCCCCAATTGAAAATTCGAGTTTTGAGTAAGATTTGGAGTCGGATTTTGATGATTTTTGTTTGAGTGTGCTCGTGAGTGAATGGGTGTTCATAATTTCTGACTTTTACCCGATTCCGAGGCTTGGGCCTGGGGAGGATTGTCGGGCGTTTTTCTATTTCCTTACCTTAGCTTCGATTCCTTTAGCTAAATTTGTTGTTTGTTATATTTACATTATTAAATTTATTTAATTAGATTTGGCCCACTAAGAGTTGGATAATCGTTGCAAGAGCGTGATTTCAGATTTATTTTGAGTTGGTTCGAGGTAAGTGGTTTGCCTAACCTTGTGTGGGGTGACTCTCCTTAGAATTTTGGTATTGTTGTTATATGAGTGTCGTATACGTGAGGTGACGAGTGTGTAAACGTGCTAATTGTTGAAAAACTCCATTTTCATTAAGTAAATATCTGCGTTTTCTTCTAATTGAGAAATTCTTGTACTTGAAGCCTCTTGTTTAGTTTAGGAAAAGCATGCTCATGTGATCTAATTGTCTTACTTGCTTTATCTGCTTACTTGTATTTTGTGAAACATGTTTAGAGTAGAATTCCTATTTATTTTCGAATAGAATTGTAGGTTCTTTCTTGAGACTGTTGTTTGTTTACTTTGGGACTACGGGACGATATCCCGGGAGATGCCCCTGCATGTTTACTTTGGGACTACAGATCGGTATTCTGAGAGATCCCCCTGCACGTTTACATTTGGGACTACGGGACAATACCCGGAAGATTCTCCTGTACTAGATATTTACTTTGGGCCTACGGATTGGTATTCCGGGAGATTCTCCTACATATTTATGATTCGGGCTACGAGACGATATCATAGGAGATCCTCTACACAATTACATTAGGAATTATGGGACGATATCCTCGGAGATCCCTTGTTGCTATCTCTATGTACTGAGTATATTATGTCTGTGATTTTACTCTTTATCAATTGTTAGTATTTTTAATTATACCGTAGCACTTCATACTATTTTACCTTGTTTTATATGTATATAACCAATAGGGCCCTGACCTTCCTCGTCACTACTCGACCGAGGTTAGGCTTGACACTTAGTGTGTATCGTTGTAGTGTACTCATGCCCTTTCCTCCACATATTTTTTGTGTGCAGATCCAGGTTCTTCTGCTCAGCCGTTCTACTAGTGAGGCAAGCGATATCAGAGATTTCAAGGCATATCTGCCGCATCCGCAGATCCAGAAGTCCATCTCTATTCTCCCCTCTAGCTTTAGACATTCTGTATTTACTTTTGATTAGATATTCTGGAGTTAGAACACTATATAGTTTTTCTACAGCTTGTGATTTCATGAGATTCCGGGTTTTGGGATTTTGATTCGGTTTTGAGATAACGTATTGTATATACCGAGCGGCATTTTCAAACTCTTTACTTATGTTTTTACTCGTAACTTGCCAGTTTTGTATTTCATTTCCTTTTTTCAAAATTTGTTAGGCTTACCTAGTTGTAGAGACTAGGTGCCGTCACGAAAGTTCATGGAGGATGAACTAGGGTCATGACAGTTTCACTGGCAAAGTCTTGGAACAATCTATCAAAATGCTTCTGTGCTTCTCCATCAGACGGCTGGTGCAGCACACCATCTAGCCTTCTATATTCATAGCGCTATCTCATATGAGGAGCGGAACTCATTGATGTATAATACCTCTTTAACCTTAGTATAAGGGGTAAGTAGTGCATCAACTTCAATGGAACCTTCTTCTATTTAGCATTTGTGACATCATTGAAATAAGGCAGGTTAAAAAATGTATTATTTTCTAAAGCTTCATCATCCTTATAGAATAACATGCAACCTTTATTACAACAATCAATCCTCTTCGATGAAAGACTCAACTTGGAAACTAATTTCTTTGCCGTGTAAAAATCTTTGGGCAGGTAAATCTTTGTCGGATTAAGTTCATTCATAAGGCCAATGATAGAATCCATGTCACTTGAGAAATAGAATTATCTGATTTAATACTTAGTAATCTAACTGCAACAAACAATTTGGAATACATTGCGCCTTCATAAAGAGGACAACTAGCTTCCTCTAACTACTTGAAGAAGCTCTTAGCCTCATCATTTGGTTTAGATTGAGCCCCTGGGAACATCTCAAAAGCATCCCTCATCATTTCATTGAATCGAAATTTTTTTACATTATTATTCCCCGCTATGGGACTATCGTCTTCTCCACCAAAAGAATTTTGAAAATCAATATCATTTACACTAGCATGACTCTGCTCATAAATAGTCCACTCATAATAATTTACCATACACCCCTTCTTATATAGATGAACAGTAATAATGTCGGAAGCCAATAACTTAACTCACTTGCATTTCACACAAGGACACCTAATCGTCCCTTCAATAAGGAAATCATCAAATGTCTTTTCTTTACCAATAAAGCCAGCAACCACTTCTATAAATTCTTCCCGCAAACCGTTACGATTCGCATGATTCCTATTGTACAACCATCTACGATGTGTAAATTCCATCTACACATAGAAGAAAATTAGAAATTGAAATATTTATGTTATTTACCCTAATCAATAAATTTTATTCTTTAAAGGTTACTTATCTAAATAGTTTAATTATATATTTAAGTGTAATTTGATATTTATCTATCTGATTTAGTAATCTAAAAAGGTTTTTGCATTCATCCATACTCATTGGTAAACTCAAAAGCAACAACAAGCGTTAAACATTATATTCAAAAAACCTTAGCTTAATACAATTTCAAACCAATGAGATTATTATATTTAATAAACTTTAATCTTACAATTATTTTGTATATTTACTTCACTATTGTTTAAAGTATAGAAGCTACATAACATAAATAATATAAAATACAATTAAATCCCTTTGAAAGATGAATCAAAATTAATGCTATAATTATTCAACACACTACTTAATGGTAACTGAATAACATATATACATTACAATGTGAAAATAAAGTCAAAATTGAATAGTTTTATTCCTAATTTTATAACATATATAATTTACCATACCTTTCGAAGATTACTCCTATTGAAGAAGAATATATATCTCAACTTTCAAAAGAAGATTAATTTTAATGTTACTCAAGGTTAATTCACTTCTAATTTTTTTATTCAAAAGAAGATTACTTTTAATGTTACTCAAGGATCTAAACAATAGTTATTCAAAGTCAAAATTAAATTATTCTTCATTTCAACTCTAATTTCAATTCTAATCATATCAAACAAAAAAATCTACAATTCAAATTTTAATAGCAATACAAATAAAAAGAACAAATATATTAACATTCAAGTCCAGAGAAAGATGATGGAAGGACTTACCTCGCCAGAGAAGATGCATGCTGCCGGAGAAGACTCACGTTGCCGGAAAAGATATAAACACTACCTGAAAAAGAAAAAAAGAGGGGTTAGAAGGGGAGTTGGCCTTGACAGAGATGAGGCGGAGAGGGAGGAAGGGAAAAAGAGATATATACCGTCGGGCAATTCGGCAACGACGACGTGGGATGAACAAGTGGGCAAAGAGAGTGAAGGGGGCTAAGATAAGAGAAAGAAAAGAGAAAGAGAATAAAAAAAGAAGAAAGGGGTCGGGGCTAGGATATAAATAACATTTTCGAACGATTCGGTCTAAAACAAAATTAGATTTCAAAAATGCGCATTTTTTCGACCAAATCGGTCGGTAAATTTTTAAAAAAATTAATATAATTTTATATTTTTTGACCATTTTCGTCAAAAAACGAAAAGTAGTCAAGGGCAATACCATTGACTTTCAAGTACTTATTGAATCGAATTCAAATAATTTTTCTTAGTTTTTCTGTCAAAATCTTGTGACTAACTTTTCGGAACATGGTCAAAATATGAAAAAAAAATTATTTTACATTATTTTTTTTGATATTTCGGCCGAAGCGGTCGGAAATTTCCATCTATAATTTTCAGTCGGAAGGAAAATTTCGGTAAAAAATCTGACATTTTCTAGTAGTGAATAAAATATCACAATGTGTCTTACTAACATAACATTCATTCCAAAATCAAATGAAATAAAGTACGAAGTAAATCATTCATAAAATTACCACAATTAGTTGAACCACAATCATCTGTATCAGTTGTAGATCATATTTATGCATGCAGCTAAATGTAGGATGGTGCTTATTCGTAAAACAATAGAGTTGAGTTTATTACGTGGTTTTATTGATAAGCAAAATGATTTGATCCAAAATGATATGGACATAAGATTAAAAGTAAGACATAGCAATTCAAATTGAACAAGATGACAAACCTAGCTCCGAAAGTAGTGTCTCCGAGGACAGAAATAAGAGCAACGTAAATGAGCAAATAAAGTTGTTTAATTGAAAGCAAAAATGAAATACAACAAATGTTTTTCCAAGATTCTTGTCTGTTTCAATGGCTGCTAAGCCTGCTGTTTATAGCTATACCTAGGGAAACAAGATCCTAGGATCAAGACTGAGATGACCGATAGGTCATTTTATGTTTTAGAACTTAATTCTATGTTTCAAAGACTCAAATACCTCGTTTTACCCCTCCTCGATTTGCATGTGCAGTTCACATGTTTTTCCAGAAAGCTTTTATGTTAAAACTGATAAAATATAAAACTTTGCTACAAAAATCTATTTTAGTTGACTTCGGTCCACATTGAGCAAACGGACTCGGATCTGTATTTTGACGGTCTCGGTTGGTCTGTATTGTAATTAGGACCTGGGCATTTGGCCGGAATCGAATTCGGAGGTCCCTAGCTCGATATATTATTTTTTGTGAAAAATTGAATCTTTAAAGGTTTAATGTTTTTAAGAATTGACCGATGTTTGATTTTGGTGATATCGGGTTCGTATTTTGGTTTCGGAGCCCGTTATAGATCCATTATTATATTTATGACATGTTTGTCAAATTAGGTGAGAAACAGAGTTGGTTTGACGTGATTCAGAACTTTGACAGTTAAAATAGAAGTTTTAAAGTTTTCTTAAAAATTTCACTTGATTTAGGGTTTGATTCGTAGTTCTAGGCGTTATTTTTTTATTTTTATTGCTTTAGCAAGTTTGTATGAGATTTTTGCAGTTGTGTGCATAATTGGTTTGGTGTCCCGAGAGATCGAGTGAATTTCGGATAGGCTACGAATGTTTTGAAACTTAGAAAATCTTTTTCTTTTTTGTGCTACAACCGGTTTCTGGTGTTTCTTTCTTTGCATTCACGAAGGTACTCTCGCGAAAGCGAAGAATTCACTGGAGCTTGGTGAATTTTCGAACGCACGCGAACGCGAAGCAATAGGGGCCTTAAAGAATGCGAAGAAGGACTCGCGAACGTGAAAGCCACAAGGGTTGCTGCATATCGCGAACGCGGCAGGCCCTTCACTAACGCAAAGAAAACCTGACTCCCAGACCTTAAAACATTTTCAAAAACGGGATTCCTCCCATTTTTCATAACCCTTCCATTAGAGCTCAGCCTAGGAGCGATTTTGGAGAGAAAACTCAACATCAATTCATAGGTTGGTACACTTAAACTCATTTTCTTCTATTTCTAACATCACCCAATAATTCCTAGCCCAAATCTTTATTCTTCCATGGTAGAAAATAATGGATTTAGGAATAATTGGGGGGGTTGGGGGTGGGTTTTGCAAATTGGGGATTTAGACATCAATTTGAGGTCGGATATCGAAATAAATTACATAATTGGGCTCGCGGGTGAATGGGTAAATAGATTTTGTGTAACGACCCGACCGGTCGTTTTGAGCTTTTACATTTTGCTCGCCAATTCTCGGGCATGACTAGCTCTGTGTGTTATATTATGACTTATGTAAATCACGAGTTTTGGTTTTCAGGATAATCAGAATAGATTTGGAAGAACAATTCTCAGTTTGAAGCTTTAAATATGAGAGGTTTGACCAAATTTTGACTTTTTAGTATTCTATCTCAGATTTAGATTTTTATGATTTGGTTAGCTCCGTTAGGTGATTTTGGACTTGGGAGCGCGTCCAGAATGTATTTTGAAGGTCCGTGGTAGATTTAGGCTTGAATTGGCGAAATTAGAAATTTGGCATTTTCCGGTCGGTAGTGGAAATTTTGATATCGGGGTTGGAATGAAAGTCCGAAAATTGGAGTAGGTCCGTTGTGTCATTTGTGACGTGTGTACAAAATTTCAAGTCATTCGGACGAGGTTTGATAGACTTTTTGATCGAATTCAGAATTCGAAAGTTTTGGAATTCTTATGCTTGAATCCATGGGTAATTCGATGTTTTGATGTTGTTTTGAGCGTTCCGAAGGATGGAACAAGTTTGAATGATGTTATGGGATGTGTTGGCATGTTTGGTTGAGGTGCCGAGGGCCTCGGGTGAGTTTTGGGGTGGTTTCGGACCATTTCTAGGCCATTTCTACTTGCTGGTTTTTGTCTTCAGGGGTGTACAGTGCGTTAGCATAGAAAAAAATTGGAAAAATGGAGTTGTGCTGTGCGATCGCATAAGTTGTCCCACGATCGCATAGAGTAAAATCTCTGCTGCACTGACCTGACTTTGGAAGCTTATATCTCACAATCTATAGGGAATTTGAAGATGATCCACAAATGAAAGTTGTAGCGCTTGATGTCTAGTTTTCAGAAAGTTAAACCAACTGTAATTTGTAGTTTTGTACAAAAAGTTATGACTATTATACTAGAGGTTGTCCGGAAGAGTTGGAGAAGGCTGTTGGAAAAATTTGTTCTACGCGATCATAGGGGAATGGCAGCGATCGCATAAGGTAAAAGAAGGGCTGAAAATTTTTATGCTTTGCTATCGCATTAGTTTGTCCGCGATAGTATAGGTTAAATGCCTGGGCAAATTATAAAGTACTTTATTTCGAGGATTTCGGCCATTTTTCATTTTTGGAGCTATGGAGCTCGGATTGAGGCGATTTTGAAGGAATTTTCAGAGGATTGATTGGGGTAAGTGTTCTTCACTCAAATTTGGTTAAATCTCATGATTATGTCTTGATTCTTATCATTTAATTTGGGAATTTGGGGTGAAAATTGGAAAAAATAGAAGAAGGTTTGGAGAGTTGATTTTAGGGATTTGGATGGCGATTTGATGTCGGATTTTGGTGAATTTGATATGGGTAGACTCGTGAGCGAATGGGTTTTTCAGTTTTGTAATTTTTATTAGATTCCGAGATGTGCGCTTGGGGGCCGGGTTTGAGCCAATTTCGGGAATTTTGAGTTAATTGGATTATTTTTGCTTGAGCTTTGTTTCTTTAGCATATATTGATGATAATAAACTGATTATGGTTAGATTTGGAGCATTTGGAGGCTGATTCGAGAGGCAGATGCATCACATGCTAGAGTTTGGACCGGATAGAGGTAAGTAATGATTGTTAATTTTTTTCCTGAGGGTATGACACCCCGGATTTCACATCGTTGTGCTGTTATGAGGTGACACACACGCTAGATGATGAGTGTAAGGTCGTGCACCGTTGAGGATTGTGACTTAGTCCGTCCCGTATGACTGTTAAGTCACGTATTTGGAAAATTGTTTGATATCATTGTGTTTGGAAATTATTACCATGTTTTGGGTTGAATGCCAATTATTTTGGACCCTTAGGGGATTTTTACTTCTATTCCTCATTGTTTTTACTTCATATTTGTACTCAGTCGTGCTGTCTTCTACTATTTTCATAACTCACCCATATTTACTCCATTTTGATATTTTAAATGATATTTTGCGCTGAGCATCATGTTTTACTATTGCCCGAGTGACATGAGAGATTTCTGACTGTGTGAGGCCGAGGGCCTATGTTGTGAGGATATTATGGGATCGGGCTATGCGCCGCAGTAGTGTGATACTGATTTATGATTATGAGACAGAGGGTCTGATTTGTTACGCCACGAGTTGACTTGATATGAACCTGAGAGCCTGTTTGATTATGCCACGAGATGACTTGTTATTGCACTTGGGCCGTAAGGGGCCCCTCCCGGAGTCTGTACACCCCCAGTGAGCGCGAGTACCTAGTGTGAGTGATATGTTGTAGCCCAAGGGGCTGTTGTTATTTGATATTGATGCCCGAGGGGAATTTGTTGTTTCATATTGAAGCTTGAGGGGCTATTCTTGATCTATGTTTGCCCGAGGGGCGATACTTAATTCATGTTATGCCCGAAGGGCTGATTACGATTGATTGTGAGGTAGCCCGAGGGGCTGGTTCCGTTGATATTATGCTTGAGGGGTAGTTTATGGTACATATTTTGCCCGAGGGGTTGTTTACGTTTCTATCATTTTTACTCATGATTTTTATCACTCATTTGACACTATTGAAATTTGTTTAAAAAGGGTTTTACTGAAACTGAGCTTGATTTACGAAGAAAATGATTTTTGTACTGTTTTGGAAAGGTAATGCATTTGCTGTAGCGTTATGCTGTGTTTTACGTGTTTTCTTACTGCTCAGCTTTCATTTACTTTATTACTTACTGAGTTGGCGTACTCACATTAATCCCTGCACCTTGTGTGTAGATTTAGGCATTCCTAAACCCGGTAACGGGTGTTGATTGCTCAGTGGCAGAGTCATCAGAGTTGGCGAGGTAGCTACCCGACGTTCGCAGCACTGCTTTTCTCC